CTAAACTGATTACCTTCTTCCCTAAACATATCCCCACTTCCCTATTTTGTCTTGATTGAACACACTCTCAAGCACGGAAGCTGGAAATCCCGGACTGGCTGACTTCACGGCTTCCCTCTTGCTGCCTTTGTGCAGCCAGCCCACCGCCCACTGACTGTCCTGTGTGTTTTGTAAATCCCTCCTCTCCTCTCCAACCCCACTCCCAGGTCCCAACCCAGGTCTCTACCATCACTTGCCTGGACCAATGCGAATCTCCAAGCTGATGTCTAACCCTGACGTTAACTCCTACTTGAATAAATTTCTGCACTTCCCTCATTTGCTGCTGTCTGTCTTATTTTCTGGGGCCATAGGTTTTACCTTTTTTCCACCCTTGTTGTACAGCAGTATATAACCAAGACATAGGCAAGATACAAGCAGAAAGCAGAAAGTGGGTAGAAAAGCAGGAGGGAGCTAGAGAAGCCAGCGGAGAGAAAATCACGGAGGACGTCGTAGATGTGCCGAGTCTTTGTTCTCCGGTGAGTATGGACTCCTGAGAACTTCGGATTTGTAAAGAAGACAATGGCCAGAGTGTAAGGATGGATTTAAACTAAAAAGGCAGACGGCAGAGACACGATTTAGTAGGCTTTACAATAATCCAGAATAAAGATGATAAAGCCTAAGCTAGGGGTGGGAAATAGTAACCATGAATAGGGAAGACTGAAAATAATTCGAAGGCAAACTAATCAGGGCCTTGTGTGTGATGAAATGTTGTATGTTGAAACAGAACAGAACGTAGGATGAGCCCTAAATCTGACTTCGATGGATGGGCAGGTGGTGGTATCTTGAACTATGATTTCCCACTACTTGATTTCGTCCTGAAACGAATACATCAGTGCATTTGTGTCTCTCCCTCTCCCTCTCACTGTGTGTGTGTGTGTGTGTGTGTGTGTGTGTGTGTGTGGAGAGAGAGAGAGAGAGAGAGAGAGAGAAACATCAATGTGCGGTTGCTGGGGGTTATGGCCTGCAACCCAGGCATGTACCCTGGCTGGGAATCGAACCTGCGACACTTTGGATCGCAGCCCACGCTCAATCCACTGAGCTATGCCAGCCAGGGCCCACACTTCTTTTTAATATTATACTGAAGACACGTGAGATGAAATGCATACATATATAAGTCATACCAGGTACTGCAGGAAGACAGAAAATACTCTGCCCTCACCTTCTAACTGAGGTCTTGGGACAGACCCTAGCCACAGAATAGATGCTAAATCAATCTAATTTCCCTTGCCTTGTCAGTGGTAAGTTAATACAATAAGATGGTTTTACAGAGCTGAATATTCATTTGTGAATATTAACCTATGTCCTAAAATATTAGCATAGAAAGGGAGCGGGGAGCATGGGTTGCTAAATATTTGGATAAAGACTTGGTGGCTGTTGCATCCAGAATATATGTCACAGCTGAGGTTTGGTCTGGAAAATGTGGCCATCCTCGTGATAGGTTGTTATGGTTCCCAGACTAAGTGGGCGTTGCCTTGTGAAAAGATAGAGCAAATCACTAAATGACCTGACATCCCAAATGTGGAAAAGGTTTACGTGGACAAAGCACCGTGTATTCTGAGTCCTAGATAAAAAAGCATTTACCTTTCCCCCTTGCCTCCCCACTCTCACCTTACTCCCTGCCCCCACCCCCGGCCATGGCCCCGCCCCAGCCATGCCCCCTAGAGTAGGAGCAGGAGAAACCCCTCTCCAGTGGTAGGAACCTGCGTTTGGTTCGTGACTGCTATGACTGCAACAATACTGCAGATAGGACAGTCATTAAAATCCTAAGCGATATTTGGACACCTATATATTTTTTTTTCTGTTCCAGGAACTCCACGTACTCTGTTTTCCCTTAAGGTCTTGGCCTTCTTTCCTCCATGTGTACATTCTCATTTAGCCATGCCCTGATCACTAATGGCCAGTCTGGAGAGTTGTTTGGTCTTGACCTTGCTGTTGGGCTTTCCACCGCCTGTGGAGTCCTCCACGTGATTTCCCCATTGGCCCCTCAATCCCAAAGGAGCCTTGTAACAAGACCTCACCACTCCCTTTGAAATTCTTCCTCCTCTGACTTAACCTATTCTCATGGACACGCTATCTTTGTAGAAGCCCGAGCTCAACCACCCCGAGTCCTCCTGCCAAAGCAGCCGCAAAGTCCCACCCCTTTTCCTCTTGTCAATCTCTGCAATCCATTCGGTTCACAGTTTGACCCAGGACGTTTGCAAAGCCTCCCAACTCATCTCTCGGACTTTAGTGCCCCCATGCCGATGTCACCTAACCCTAATGCCAGAAAGAGCTTCCCAGGGCACAAGATACCCCAACTCCTCAAATGCTTTCAATGGCTCCAGACTACAAGCAGGATGCTTTAAGCTTTCTGCATGAAATTCAACATCTTCCACCATGTGACTCCAGCAGAACCTTCCAGACGAACGTCATAGGGCCCCTTCGCAAACTCTGCGTTCCCGCCCAATGAAACCCTTCCTTGTTCCCTAACTATATTCTGCCGTGTATGTCCTTACAGCTCAGCCCAGTGCCACACAAACACTAGGCTCTAATCGGTACCAGCTGAATGAAAAGAGAATTTAGGTGGGGGTTGCACTATAAAGTTCTCTCAACTTTTCTGAATGTTTGAACATTTTCATAATCAAACATTGGGGGAAATATTTGTTAATAAATGAGCAGATATCTTGAGAGTTGGGGTACCTCTACCACAGAGAACCTGGGGAACAAGGTGGGGGACAGGGGAGATGACTCTGTGTCTGAAAAAGCAAATTCTTACCCTCATATCTTCCCAGTATCCTTGGGTCTCCTCTCTAAACCTCCTCCCTGTATTCTGCTTCTAGTTCATGATGGTCTTTCTATTGCTACAATTGTTTATTGGCCCAAATGTTTATTTGTAAAGATGTATTTGGGTGAAAGCAATAAAGGAAGAGCAGGTGGTTTCTTGCTCAGGGTTGTACCTGCAAGATCTTGGAGGAAGAGAAATCTCAATACCCTGGTTTCAGTTCACTTATGCTTAGGGGCATAGGTTTTGTCAAGAAAGCACCAGATCGCTCTCTTGTGAACAGAGTCTATAATTGCTTAAATTGTTGAACTTGCAAATATACAGCATAACAGTTCAAACCCCATTCCTGGTTTTGGCTAGGAAAGTACATTTCTTAGCTTTCTGCCCTGCTTACCCCTCTCCCAAGTCAATCTGGGTAGGAATGCGACATTCTTATAGAGGCACCTTTCTAGCTGAGAGACACTTCCCTACTTACATTCTGTCTAGTGGTCTTGGTTCAGTCAATGCACACTCTACGTCGTTAAATCCCTGGCGATGTTAAACTAAAATAAACATGCTCCCTCTTTTAAATGAACTCTGCTTCCTGTTACGAATGGGGCAGTTCCTATTAACCTTGGGTGTTTGGTGCTAATAAACGGTCCGTGATGTTCTCCGAGGCAGTAACCGAGCTCTCCCTCCATCACTGTCTTTGCTCTGCGTGCACCAGGCTAGCATGCAACATTCTGTCTTTCCTCTGACAAACCCTATGCATCCTGAAACAAGGACAGAGCCATTAACAAATACTGTCATGTCGTTTGCTTCTTGTTTCTGTTTTGCCAAGAGGAATGAATTGGTGAGCTCAGTGGACTTGCTTAATACTCTTCTCAGGCATTTGAACCTCCTGTCAGTCAAAGCCCACTTATTTCTCAGGCTATAGAATCAGGTTAGTAGAAACTCACTGTAAATTGGTTTAAAAGCTAGATTCACATATGTTGGGGCGCCACTTATGCCTTTCCAAAACAGCCAGCTCCTATGTATAAAGACAGAAAGAATAAAATGGCTCCTTGCTAAGAACACTGACATTGTATTTTAGAGTTTCCACCAAATGATTAGCCTGGAGTAGAAGTCTAGAAAGCACGGCCCCCAAAGGCTCTCCACGACCTTACAGACTTTCATGTGCCAACACAGCCAGTGCACTTGACTTTAAAAAAAAATGTTCCAATTCTTATTTTGAACAGTTTTCTTAAAAGATATTTTTCAAGTTAGCAAAACGCATTCTTGTTGGATCTCTTTTTCTCCTAATGTTGCTGTTCTTACTCATCTTACACCAAAATAATAATAATAGTAATAATAAATAGTGTAGTAGCAGTAGTGGTGGTTGCTGTACATTTAAGGGGAGAGGAAAAGACAAGTGTCTGAAATGCAGAGACTGAGATTTAGTAATCTTGAATAATCCGCTCAAGGTCACCAACTAGCAAAAGGCGACCTGTGATTTCAGTCCATAAATACACGAAAGCCCATTTTTCCTTCACACAAAGCTGACCTCAAATGTATTGGGTGCTTGCGTTTCATCCCACTGGCTCCTACCAACTCCCTTGCAAGGCCCCAAGTCACTTGACAGGGAGCTGTCACTTGTCCCAAACTCCTGGTTTTCTCTTAATCCTACATTCCAGGAACAATGTTCATTCTCGTGTGCTTTGGTTTCTCAGATCAAGCCAAGTCTCCTTTTGGGGGGGCACACTCGGATCAAAAGCACCTCCCACCCCCACTTCTCCACAGCACCCCGAAATCAACATCCCAAAGAGACCCGTTGAGGGAGGAAGGGGATGCTGCTCCCATCTCGCATCTAGGGTCATGGGGGACCCCACAGCTTCACACTCCCCTGGAAGGGCTCCTGGACTCGGAGGCGCCTCCAGATCTGGAAGTAGCCCAGGTGCAACCGCCCGGAGCGTGCCAGGAGCCTTTGGGAGAGTTCCCCGGGGCTGAGCGCACCGGCAGCAGTGTCAAGGCTCCCCAGTACCCCATCCTGGAAACTATGGATTGGTCGAGACAACCGATCCGTTCCCATTCCACCGCGCGATCCGTTCCCATTCCACCGCGCTTTCTTCCTTCTGGCGGCTAACGGCTCCTGAGACCACCCGCTCTGCGCTCCCAGCGTGTGGCGTCCGGGTGAAGACTAGCCCGCTCTGCCCGCGCATCCCCCGAGGATTCCCGCACTTACGCAGGGCAGGGCAATCGGCACTCTGGTCCCCGCTGCGGTTCACCAATCAGGGAGAGGTCAGCCGCCCTTCCCCTCTCACCTCAGCACAAGCACCCTGCAGAAGGCGAGCTTTTAATGGCTCCTCTCAGCGACGCCCACCCTTGACCCTGACCTATCGGGCAGAAGGCATGTCCCCGCCTCCCCTCCCTGCGACCTGACTTCATCCCGTCGGCCCTTGCCCTCGAAGGGCTGGGAGCAGCCAGCACTCCCAGGGTGACACGTTAACAACGAACAGAGGAACAGCAGCTGCCAACTCCGTTTGTGCGTTCATTGGCACGTTTCGATTTTCTCCCCAAGTTTTTAAGAGATGCTGTCTTTGAATTTCAGCGCTGCATTTTGAAATTATCCCCCCCTCCCAGGCGTTTGCCCCTGGAAACCAAGTGGTGTTTCACTCCCAGTGTTTAAAAAGCCCACGTGTGTGCGTGGAGAGTCCACATCCCAATCCCTAACATGAGACAACTCTGAGTGCCAGCACTGAGTGCCCGATGCTTTCTCTACATTACTGCATAGGAACCTCATAGCAACCCGATGCGTTAGCACCATCACTATTCCCATTTTGCAGGTGGGAAGTGGATCGAGAGAGGCTAAGTACCCCATTCAGAATCACAGCTCTTGTAAGTGACCAGAATAGGTATTATCAACCACCGACCGGTGCTGGGCACTAAGCCAGACACTAGGGGAAGACAGAATTAAAAGGTAAGGCGATTGCAAAGAGATAAAACAGAATATAAAATGCTCCCTCTGTCTCAGTCCCACACATGTCCTGTGGTTCAGAGACAACACAGTTATTCAGGAGACCTCAGTCTGGCTAAGTACTTTGAATCCTGCCTCTGGTGTTTGGCAGCTATTTAAAAAAAAGTCACCTCGCTCCCACCATGCTTCCTTGCAGAAGTAGTCTGGTTTCCCTTCCCCTAAATCAGGGCTGGCTTCGTGACTGGTTTCGACTGTAGAATGTGGACAAGTGCTGTTGCCATCCTAGGAGTCAAAAGGCTTTGCAACTTGTTTTGAGAGTGCCACCTGGTGACTGCCACGCCAAGGAGCCAGTGCAGCCCTCAGGGAGTGAGGGGCTCCATGCCCTAGGAGAACATCCCAGATGTTCTCTGGGACAGCAGCAGCCCCCAGGGTGAGACAGCAGCAGCCCCCGGGGTGAGAAGCCTTTGCCATTTCCCAGTCCAGCAGCTCCTCCAGTTGAGTGCAGCTGCCACAGTGAGCCCAGGTGAAACCTGCAGCAGAGAGGCCCAACCAATCAGGGGAGAAAAAACCCAAGTCACTGTTGTCTCTAGCCACTTCACTGAGTTATATAACTAAAGCAACCTTTAGTACTGACTCTGTGACCTGGAACAAACTACTAAATGTCACTGTGTCCCTGTTTTCTCCTATGTGTGTACTTTATTGGGTTGGGATGAGGACTACATGAGAAGCCACATGCAGGTCGCCTGACCCCGAGCACATGCGGCCACCACCCGTCGCCATGACACGTCATCACGCTGATCTCTTCATGGAGAAATGTGTGTGGGTGGGGAAAACATTTTCCTTCAAGACCAGCCTCAGCCCACCTTTATTAAACCATTAAATGAACTAGGTAGAACCTTCCTCCATTGACAAACAGAACTTCATTATGAACTGAAAGGCCAAGTTCAAATTCCTGGACGATCTACTCCTAGTGAATACGGTGGTGCACGAGAGCTGGTTCCCAGCCCCCGGTCCACAGCCACCCCTTCTTTTCCCGCAAAGTTCCAGCCCCCGTGGGGAACCTTAGTCCAGCTCCCCGAAGCAGCCATGGCCCTGGCCACCTCTTGGGCCTAGGAACGTGCACACCAATGGCACTGTCATCTGTCATGGGAGTACAGATGTTGCAGGAGCCCCTGCTGGTGCACAGGCCCTTGAAGGAGACCTGGTGCCATTTAGGAAGGCAGGCTGGGGGTCCTGGATGCTCGGAACAAGGTTTGGTGAGGCATGGATTGGGGGGCAGGGAGAACAATGGGCGCAGCTGCACAGACACCTGACTCTCTGGGGAGGGGTGGGCCAGAGGGGTGCCGTCCAAGACACGGGTGCTGGGCATCGGCCCCTTTGGCCTAAGCACAAGGACAGCTACTGGCCAAGGAATACCTGCACCCAAAATGCAGCCGCTTAAAATGAAAAACAAACTGGGTTTTACTGTACCAATGAAATGAATCGTACTGCAGTGTACTTAATGCAAACACAGGCTGTTGCAGAAGTCTCACTGAACTTTTCATAACTTCAGAGGCGAATGCTGCAACTTAGAAAAAAGCATCATTTGAAAGTTTAATTAAATGTATTTTACACTTATTTAGTGTTGTGAATGTTGGGTAACACATTTAAAAAAGTTTTTTGTTTCAGTTTCCAAGTGAAAAATGGCATACATTGACTGAAAGAAAAAAAATACAATTACATTTATTCAACTAAATAAAACCTAAGAGTCCGCCCTGGCTGGTGTAGCTCAGTGGATTGAGCGCAGGCTGGGAACCAAAGTATCGAAGGTTCGATTCCCAGCCAGGGCACATGCCTGGGTTGCAGGCCACGGCCCCCAGCAACCGCACATTGATGTGTCTCTCTCTCTTTCTCCCTCCCTTCCCTCTCTAAAAATAAATAAATAAATCTGTAAAGAAAAAAGAACCCTAAGAGTCAAAAAGAAGGAAGCTTTCAAATGACAGTCTTGAAAGTTCGTAGCATTTATACTTCTGAAGTAACGAAAGCTTAAAGCTGCACTAATACATTTGGGACACCCCAGTGTGCGTGTAGCTCGCCTTTATTTCAATGTTTCACAGGGGGGTTATTTAGAACTTCAGTGATGTTTTTGTGACCGGAAATAGGCTGTAGGAACTTAATTCTTGTTTATTTCAATTAGCCTGTGGCACAATTGGTCTCATTGTGCTTCGTTTCTCTTCAGGCCTGGTTTCCAAGAACCTGGAGACAACATTCAGTGAGGAGTTAGTGAAGTCAGGATGAAAATCTTATTTTTCACCATGACCTGTGGTCACAATAGCTTGAAAGCTACTGCACTGGAGGTCTTCTAAATTTTTTCAGTAAGATAGATATATTTCTTATTTTTCTTTTCATGAGTATAATACGTGATGGTTATAGAAATGCGAAGATAGGCAAAAAGATCAGATAAAAATCCCACTGTGACCAAATGATGTATTTCTGTCTAATCTTTTATCTAGACAAACATGTGTTGCAAACAAAATTGGCGTCATATTATATGGAATTATTTATCCTGCTTTTAGCAGTTAGCATTAGATCCCAATTATTTTCACCCGTTATTAATTCAAAACCATGATCTTAATGGCTGTGTAATGTTCAATCATAGGAATGTGCTATAATTTATTTGACCATTTTCCAACATCTGATCATTTGGGTTGCTTCCCATTTCTCCTTATTAATTCATGAAGAAATACCCTCATGTAAAAAATGATGTGCATCTGATTACTTCCTTAGGAAAGAAACATCTGGAATGCAGAATTACTGAGTCAGAGGGTCTTTGGAAGGTTATCTAGGTTCAAAGACAAGAACTGCTCACCAAACATTCTACTTTGCAGGGTGCAACCTTTGGGGTGGGGGCGGGGCCGGGGTGCAGCGGCGGCGTGCGCGGGAGGAGCAGAGTCGCGGAGTCTAGCCGAAACAAGTCCCGGGAAATACGGTGAGGACTTGGTGCAACTTTGTGGCAGGCAGGCCCTCCGTTAGTTGCTAGGAGTGGCCTAATGAAATATTACAAACTGGGTGGTTTGAAACAACAGAGATTTCTTCTCTCGCAGCCCTGGAGAAGTCTGAAACCAAGGTGTCTGCCGGGCTGATCTCTCCGCGGGGGCTCTGCGGGAATCCTTCCTTAGCCTTAGCCAGCCCCCAGAAGTCCCTGGCATTCCTCTGCCTTGAAGTTGCATCACTCCAGCCTCCATCTTTGCGTGGCCTTTTTCTTCGGACGTGTCTTCTCTTCTTCACATCAGGACACCGGGCATTGCATTTAGGGCCTGCCCGAGCCCAGTCTGACTTCATCACAACTAATTCCATCCGCAAAGACCCCATTCCCAAACCAGGTCCTATCTGGAGGTTCTGGTGGGCACAAATGTTGAGGGGGACACTATTCAAAGAAGATACGATATCGACAGGTATTTAGATACACTGAGAGGATTCGGGGACAGGTAAACGTGGGATGGACGAAGAGGATTAGTCTATAAACTTTCATTAAATAATACTCGCCCTGTCTTCCTTAACATCTGTTCTCCAGTGGACTGTGGCTTCTGAGGAAGCAGGTCTGGAGGAGCCTTGGGCAGATTCTGTTCAGAGGCCACGCTACAGTGCGGGAGGCCACCTGCAGGGTGGGAGGCCATCTGCAGGGTGGGAGGCCACCTGCAGGGCGAGCTTCCGGCCAGAGTGCGCAGATACCATGGCGGCAGCACTGGGGAGAGGATTTTGGTCTTTTGTAAAAGGTGCGTGTACAGTTGACCCTTGAATGACAGAGGGTGAGGGGTGCCAGCCTCCTCACTACCTGCAGCCAAAAATGCCCACGTAACTTTCCGCTGTCCAAAAACTGGTCACCCTTTGGTGTCCGTGGGGCATGGGTTCCAGGACCCCCAGAGACACCAAATCCGTGGGTGTTCAAGTCCCCTATGTAAAAGGGTGTAGAACGGCGCATACAGTTGGTCCTTCAGATTTTCAACTTCAGATCAAAAATACTGTTTTTAATCTGTGGTTGCTTGAATATGTAGATGTGACACCCAGGGTCACAGAGGGTTGACTGTATATTTATTGAAAAAAATGCCCATGTAAATGGACCCATGCAGTTCATACTTACATTGTTCGAGGGTCCACTGTATTTTTTCTCAGCATTACTCACTAGCGAATTTTGGCACAGTTGGCCAAATAGTTCTGATACTTTAAGAAGTATCTCTTTACATTTCTCCCCAAGGGACCATAACTACGGTGAACAATTGAAGGATCAAAATATGTAACTTATGGAGGAGAATCCAATTTCTGGAAATAATATTTTTAGTCCCCCCACCCTTTTTTTTTTTTTTTTTTTGGTAACGTGAGTAGTCAAAGGCAGGCAAAAGCATGGCTTTGCAAAAAGATTG